TCTGTTCTGATTATAATTCAGGCAGCCAGATTGATCAGAATCGACTGAAAAGCAACAATCTCCACAAGCTGATATTTTTCTCCTGGAACGATTTCTGAAATTTACATTTTTAAAATGGCAAATAAATTAGGCAATGTTATGGATTCAGGTAATGAAAATCTGGAGGCTTTGGAGTGAGACAGGCAGACAGCAAAGTCCTAATGCACAACTATTGTTAATTAATCTATATATAAAAAGCAAAATACCCCTCACGCATCATCGCAAAATCTCCAGAACTGTAAAGCCTACAAACTTGAAATTTGGCACTTATGTTCCTCTTGGCTTCTAGGGGTTCACTAAGAAAGGATTTTTCCAAATGACCATCAGAACATTAGTATTTCCTATATTATTATTATTAACATGCTCTGATGCTAAGGAGTTCTACTCCCCCTCCCCACCTGAAAAGAAATCTCTTCCAAATGCAAAACCCAAGCAGAGGAGAGGAGTTTCAGTTTCAGTCTTAGTTTCACATCACCAAGCAGCTTTAGTACAGAACAGTTGAGCTAAGCCACACCCAGGCTCCTTGCTGTCTCCTCCTTGCTCACACAGCAAATACGCTTTCAGTTTCCACTAGTCCTCCAGTCTCTCACACACTGACGGGACGCTAGCTAGAGGAATACCAATGGATGCTGGAAGGCAGAGGCAGAAATTTTTTCCCCTTATTTTCCTCCCAAAAAACTAAGCCTGACCACAGTTTCGTAGTGAAGCACTGGTATCGAGCTAATTTTATTATAAGGCATGATTTTGTGGTTTATCTTTCCCTAGACTTTCAGATCTCTCTTCTGAATCTAAGAGAACCCAGAGCGAGTAGATTTCAATCAGAGCACCTTCTAAAGGCCCTTATAAATTTGAATCCCAAAATCTTCTTGTTTTTTATTACAACCCATTACTACCATATAAAAAATAAAGATCTACAGATGTCAAGAGAGCTGGATTTCATCCAGTTTCCAAAGTGACAATCCTGGATACCTCATCCCAATTCCTGTTTATTAAGAAAGAAAAGAGAGGGGAAAAAAGCAAAACTATAAATTCATTTGGGATCAGGGGATTCCAATCCATCGGTCATTTCTTCTTCCCGATACACCTGGCCCCTCTCTGGGGATAATGGGAGTTGTAGCTCAACACTTTAGGGATGTCCTTGGAGATTTTCAGCCCTCCAGGTCATGGTTGTTCCCACCCACTCCAAGAGGCAACTGGGCATTTTTGGTTTTTCTTTGAAGAGGTTTCGCTTCTCGTCCTGAAGAAGCTTCCTCGGCTTCTTGACAACTCTTTCGGGAGGTACCCCTTTTTAGAAAGCTGCTCTTGCAAGTTCACGTTCAGCCCAGCCACTGCTCACTTTCAGAAGGGGAGGAGGGCAATGCGATGTGCAATGCAAAGGAAACCCACCCACCTACCCCACCCCACCTACCTACCCACCTACTCTTCCACCAACCCACCTACTCCACCCCCCACCTACCTACCTATCCCTCCAACCACCCATCTACTCCACCACCACCGACCTACCTACCCCTCCACCCACCCACCAACTCCACCCCATTTACCTACCTACCTATC